GGTTTTTAATGGTATCGTACATCATCTCTGCTGCTAAGCATATAGAATGACTTTGACAAAATTTCTACTTTTTTCTATCAAGAGGCGCAACGAGTTGCACGGCTGACAAAAATCTTCCGGTATACAAATTCACTTCCCAGTCTCTCTCATCAACCGCGAGAAAATAGTAGTAGAAACTACAAACTAACACTTACGCAACACATGATTAATCTCTAACCAGCGTCAGGACATCTTAAAACCGCCTTTGCTCCCTCGGCTTCGACTCTGCGACGGTAACCCGGATCTGCCTGCCATCGAGGTCCTACAGAACAAGACCATGCGCTCAATTAGCATAGCTATTCAGAAAACATCGAATTATTCAAACTTGACACTATGAACACAGTAATATACGAGAACTTACCACGCCGTCGAGGTTTGAGATCGCATTGTTGACCTCGTCAGCAGAGCCATAGGTGACGAAACCGAAACCCCTCGACCTGCCGCTGTCACGGTCATAGATGACCTTGGCATCAAGCACCTTTCCTTGTTCGCTGAACAGGTTCTCGAGCGTTGAGTTGTCGACGCCCCAGGATAGGTTTCCGACGTAGAGCTTGTTGGCTGAATCAAAGCTGCCGCCGCCGCCACCACCACCCATGGTCCTCGGTGTTCTGGGTGCGAATTCATCTCTGGGTGGTGGTGGTCCAGAGTTAACCCTGAGAGGTCTTCCTTGGAACGTCTAATTTGAGAGATAAAATCAATTAGTCAACAGTCTAATACTCCAACAACTGCACTACATATACAGAAAAACAAATAGTCCCAACAATCAGCAAAGTTCGCACTACAATGCTTAATTATGCTGGAAATCAGATTTCATGTTTGTATCAGTAAGCTGAACATATATGAGCATCATTGCTACATAACACTACATGAAAAACAAACACCCAACAATGTATAGAGAACTAACTTTTTCACAGCAGCTTATAAAATTTATACACAGATAGTCATTTAAACCCATGTAATGTACCAAGATAAGGTGGTTTAAAACAGATGAAGTCTGCTTACATAGCCATTGAATTGCTCGACGGCGGCAGCAACTTCCTCAGCTGAACCCATTGTGACGAATCCAAATCCACGGCTCCGTCCGGTCATTCTATCGTATACAACCTGCAAGAAATGAGATACTATATCATTCTGAAAAAATAAACTATCCCAGGCTTAGCGCGCAGCTCTGCTACAGTTGAGCATTGATTTGCTGTAGTAATTTACTGAAGCAATTTGAACTTAGTTCAAGCCAAGACCATTTTACAACATCTTATCTTATCCTGAAGAACAACAACCTATACTAGTATAACAACTCCACGTCCATGTGCAGCTCTGCTGCAATGGAGCATTCATTTGCTGTACTGATTTACTGAGCCAATTCGACCTAGTTCAAGCCAAGACCATTTTACAACATCTTATCTTATCCTGAAGAGAAACAGCCTATACTGGTATAATAACTCCACGCCCATGCACAGCTCTGTTACAATTGAGCATTCATTTGTTGTAGTGATTTACGAGGCCCCTGAAGCTCTGAACCAATTCGAACTCACTCTATGCTGAGACAATTTACAGTATCTTATCTTATCCTTAATAATAAAGAAATAATCTATACAGCAACAATTCAACATCCATCGGGTAACCTGACACTACCCTGAAACAGAATGTCCTGACTCTGAAGTCTCTACCCTAACCATGCATTGCCGAGCAGAATTTTACCAATTTTTTTAGGAAATTAGAGTGTTTCACTTTAGCCCATTACAACTTGCGCCAAACCAACTGTTAGTTAACACGACCAGAGAGTACCAAATTATACCTCGACCATCTCGACGGAGCCAGCCTGCTCGAAGAGCCCGGCGAGCTGCGCGCTGTCGACGGTGAAGGGGAGGTTGCCGACGAAGACCTTGAGGTCCTCGGAGTACTCGGCCTCGGAGTCGCCACCGCCCTCGCCCTCGCTCTGCTCCTCCTCGGCGTCCTCCGTCCCGAACTCGGACGACACGGCCACGGCCACGGGCAGCAGGAGCCGCCTCCGCGGCGCCAGCAGCGCCGACACGGCGCGCAGCGGGCCGCAGGCGAAGGAGGCGGCCGAGGCGGCGGCGGGCCTGGCGGCGGAGGGGAGCGGGATGAAGTGGTGCGAGAGCGCGGTGGAGAAGAGGGTGGCCGCCATTGCAGAGGGGGATAAGACTCGCAGGGGATAAGGTTCTGCCGCTGGGGTTTGGAGGCGAAGGGAAAGGGGTGAGTGTGGGAGTGGACTGTGGAGGGGGTTTTATAGTGTACAGGGCGGATGGATGGACGGCCAGCCGATGAGCCACACCAACGGCTGGATATTTGCCTCGCGGAGATATTTTTCTGGGGCTAGGATGAGAGGGGGTGTGGCCCCACTAGCAGTGTGAGAGGCCAGCCAAATGTTTAGCTGGAAACTAGCTGTGTTGTTTTGTTGGAATTGGATGGGATAATGCACTATCATCAGGATTTTTTTTGCGTCTTCATGATAATGCACTAGCAAGCATCGTTAGCACAGATATTCTTGTTGAAAATGTTTCTTTTCGAGGCATTCTTGCTGAAGATAAAGCCCACCGCAACTGGAAGTGAAGTGGTAAACAGAAGGGGAAAAAAAGAGGAACAGAGTAATAAATTACTCAAGGTAAACACAAAATTTTTGGGGAATTAGCTTGTTGAAAGTGGTAAAAACAAGCTGCTCGTACCAGCCGAAACAACAACGAGATGAGATACTACATAGCAGCAGCACAGAATTTTATAGCATCCCAGTCCCAGGCTGTCAGCCCAAAATACAAAGCAATAGCTTTGACATCATAAACAATCCATAGAATGATACAAAGTTCCGAAAGGTCTCAAGGTTTCGAATGCATACTGCAAGACATGGCTAGCACACCTACAAGATTTTCTCTCGGCTAAACGATCCGCTCTTTTGCCAAAAGAAACAATCACCACAGCCATGTACATTGTGCTCCTCCAAACATCAGCCCTGTCCTCCTTCCCTACAAAACCTCTACAGCTAAGGATATCTGTTGCGAATCTGAAAACATGTGTCTGCTCAAATGTCATTCGCTCGCCAAGCTCGCGGGGTCTTTCAAGCGCTCCCGCAATATCTCGCAGAGCTTACTGCAAGCATCCATACAGAGCTCTACTGCCTGTTGATGATCAAAGACAAAGAAGTTAGTATGATTGTTGTTGCTTTGGCATTACTATATATGAGAGTCAAGAAATTATAATCGAAACATCAAGAAATTGTGTATCTCAGATAATGCAGTAGATAGATAACACACATTGGTGATTTTGCCATCAGTCCACTCCCCAGTCAGCGTAAGTTGTGTAATCTCCTTGCGGGCCGGCATGTAAGATACCATGAGGCCTCCGTCTTGCCATGCCTCCTCGTCTGAGGTTGGATCGATGATAACGTTCTTCCCTAAACAGGACTGGCAGATCGAAGTTGAAACTGATCAGCTTCCAGTTTAAATATCCCTCGGCAGAAGTACATGTGTCATAAAGCAGAGAGTGTGAGGGCATACCACGGATACTGATGTAACAAGGTCATACATCATAATCCCAGCATCTGCCAGTGCAAGACTAGCGCAAGATATTATAATGGGAAGATCGCCTGAAATAAAAGAGAGTGGTAAGGATGACAGTAGTTTCTTCTTTTTATCAGAAAGTATGGTACCGCGGAAAGAAATGGTGGGGGATAAAGGCTTCTGTCAAATAATGGATAGAGATACAAAATGTATCGACAAATGTGATGAAATGCAGACTCAAAAGTAATAACTCATTACTTACCTACCTGAATATGTTCACTTTTCCTCAAATTAGTAATGACTACGAGAAAACAGCACGTTCATACTATGAACTTGTGAGTAATATAACTCAGCTTTAACTTATATTACAAGACCAAGAACATACTGCGTCAGTGACACTAAGATGAGTGAGAATATGAACACAATTTCTGAATAAGCACTGGAAAAATAATTTAGGAGCATTTCCAAGTAGAAAGATGCAATATGTAACTAGTGTAATATACTGAAAACCAAAAGCAAAGCCATGAATAGTATCATACTGCCACCAGACTCAAGAACCAACGCAAAAACATCAACAGTTGTCTTCGGAAAAGTATGTAGCATTACTGCGCCTTCCAGGGCTTTGTGAAGCATTCCAGAGTACTCCTTGTTTTCCAGCCCCTGAAACGAAGATGCATGCTATCAATCTTTACTTTCAAATATATGTCATTGACTAAGAATATTCTCCAAATAGAACCGATGAGAGCTAATTAAACAGCATACCTGTCCACGTATACCAGTGGCGAATGTTGTATAGCTCACACTGCAATTGAGCCTACCAGTGTCACTGTACAGCATTGCTTTCTTGCTCTCCCTTGGGCCAAACCTGCAAAGATGATAAATAAATAAGCATGACTGACCAACATAGTTTTAAATAGCAGGATATGCCTCTTAGCGGCGGACCTCTTCTAAACGCTATAGCATGCTATAACAATGCTATAGCACGCTATTTAAAGTGTGTGTTCATGTGTTTAGACCAGTGTCCCTTAGCACGGGACCTCTTCTAAACACTATAGCGTGCTATAGCACGCTATTTAAAACCATGCTGACCAATCAATCAATAAGATAAATCCAACAAGACTGCACAATCTAATACATCGAATTGACTACAAAGCTAGGAAGCACATGTTGAAGCTAAAGGACTTCAAAGTTCAAGATATCTTTGTGAATTTGAGATTTTGGCTATTGAGAAAGATTTAGCTAGTCAAAACTCTGAAGTGATAACTGATGAGAGCACAAGATCATAAAATACTTGCATGTCTTTGCACGCTCAGAATGATAGGAAATAAATGGATTCAAGATGAACATGCAATGTTCTCCGTTGCTTAGCAAAGTATAAGCATTTTCGAGTCCAAACAAAGAACTTGTAAATATATATCAGTTGACCTTAACTTGGTGATATTTTATTCCATCAACACTCAGATAACTACTTAAATTGTCAATCTGGAATAACCTCCAAGGATGAATTTGGCATATCTCTAAATTTATATTGAAATAGAAAACTGAAGTAACGGAAGATATATTTTTTTCTAGAATAAAATATAAGACATTGCTTTCACACTTGCAATCAAAACCATACAACATACATACAATGAGAAAAGAAAAATGCTGTTAAACTTACACTGACACAATGACCTTTGTCTTCCCAAATTCTGCATAAGCAGACCCTGATGCAGCAGTAGTTGGCCCTGTTTGCATAACTGCAACATACAATTAAATCAAAAATGACTTAGAATTGAAGATACAAACGCAGTTTCGACTCAGTTTATAGAACAATAAGCAATATTTTCTGGTCAAGGTTAAGAGAAGAGAGAGGGAGAGGTTGTGAAGCAAACTTTCAGATAATATATCAAAGAAATGTGTGCAAGCATGTTATATATCATAATAATACACAGACACAAAATTGTATTCAGCCCTGAAAATTGTACGGTGTTTTACTACAAGCAAACTGGTTTAGCATATATCTACAAATCACCAGGTTTTGAACATTTTATAACTAAAATCAAGCATTGAGAAAACTGGCACAAGGCTAAGCAATAAATCCGTCATGTTCAACACTTTGCAAGTTGAATCCATGCATGCTTTTCGTTCAAAGCAGAAAAGCACAACATCAGTGTAAGGTGAGTGAAGGCTAGAAAAGCCAGCAGGACACATCTAGAATGCTGTAGAAAATCATCATCTAGGGCAAATTGTCTTACACCTTCAGTATTCCCCAAGAGCAATAGCATTATAGCATCATCTGCAGAAGCAGATAGCAGAGTACAGATTCTCCGAAGGAACACCGTTGAACATAACATATAACCCTTTGGCTGAATACTAGAGAATCACCACGAAAGCATGAAATCCAGGACTTCCATCATCTAAACAACTGAAAGTGCAAGTGGCTCATAGTCATCCAATTCAAATTAACAAAGCATCTGTCAAGCACCTCAGGAAAAAATAACCATTCAGAACATCGATGCCAAAAAAGTTTAGCCTGAATAAATCACTACACCCACAAGGAAGGCCAGACGGCAAGCCATGTCAAGCAACATGTCTGTCAAGAGATACGGCAGCATACATGACACAGGACACACAACAAAACGACGTAGTCATACAGGCATTCCACAGTACAAATCCTAAAAGACCGCAGAACCCAAAGAATTGGATATCAGCGTTGCATCAGGCATGCGCTCACTGTTCAGGCATAATGTCGAACACTACAGGTGCTGGCCAAGCAAAGGGACAGGCGCTCAACAGAGATTGTTGAGCACGAAGCAGAGCATTATACAGAGGTATGCACACACGGAATAACATAGAGAGATGCAGGAGTGAGGAAGTTACATGCGGGGCGGCAGTCGTGCAAGGAGCGGCCGTCGGCCCGGGGCCAATCGGCATCCTCGGCGAGGTGGCGCCGCAGCTCCTCCCTCCTCTCCCGGCGCTTGCTCCCAGCCTCCGCGGCCGGGGAGTACGTGTCCGCAGCTGCTGCCGCCGCCGACATGGCCGGAAAGTTTGTCTGCGGGTTTGCGTCGCCGGGCGCGCGCTCGAGCAGTGCTAAAACCCTAGGGCTTGTCTGTGCTGTTACGGCGAGAGTGGAGGGATGAGGTCGCTGCTTTTAGATTCGTATAAACTGAAAGCATACAACTCGGCTCCGGTTCGACCCAGTCGATTACCAGTGGAACCGGCGACCGGCCAGGGCCCCCGGACCTCGGGCCTCGACCCAGTTTTTTCTTGTTTTTCTTTTTAGATTTAGGCCCTGTTCGGAAACCCACCCGCTCCAGGAATCTCGGAAGCGAGGAAAATGCAGCTCCCTGATTTCCAACTACAGCTCCGCCCGCTCCAGGAGCTGAGTTGCGGAGTGGAGCGATTCCGAACAATGCCTTAGAAAACTATCGATCTATTTTTCTCAAATACGCACAAATGTGCATACTACTAATATATTAAAGAAGAAAGAAGGTGAGAACCCCTTCACGTTAGGTGTTACACAGTGTTACATGAAACCCAACTCCACCACAAAGAAACCTATACTACTCTCTTATGCTCTCCCATCTAGCCAGCCCTAAAAAGAGCTTCCACATCTCCCTTTATAAGTCCCGCTGCCTTCCAAGCCCGAACT